TGGGGGAAAAAGACAAAGCAGACATAAAGCTTGCTTTGTAACATTTAGACACAAAGTTATCTACATTATCCATGATTGAAACAGACAATCTTAAGCTGAGTATTTCTTAAATCTACCAGAAGGATGAGCTGGACTCTTGAGGTAAGTGCTCTTTGAAGCTAATGTGCCACTGTACAAAGAAAGCTTTTTTTTTTTTTTTTTTTTTCCTTTGAAAAGATAAAAGCTAATACTGTGGTGGCAGAAGCTACAATACTGCCACTGAAATGGAGGTCAAAGCTGAAGGTTCTTTGCTAGCAGAAAACTAGAAAGAGGTATTATTATTATTATTATTTATTATTATTATTAAAACAAAAATTCTATTCTAGCATTCTAAGCTCTACTTGCGGGTCTCTGGCTAGGAAATCACTCATCTGTCCAATTTCTATTATTCAATATTGCATTAAAAAAAATCAGAGGAGGAAGAAGAAAAAACTTTGGGCATCCTCGGGTCAAGGCGATTTTTAAAAAGGTTAAAAGCTGTTCAGAAGGGTTACAGTATCCATAAAGGCAAATGAGATTATATTTAAAGACTGATGGAGAAAAAGCAATAATTGAGATAAAATGCTACTGTCTCAAAAAGGTTTAGACTGAGGAAATGCTGATATTAAAGCAAAGAAATTGAAAGACTTACAGATCAGCCGTCACATCAAAGACAGCAGAGTATTTCATTAAATTTGCAACAATTATGTTTACTTTTAATGTTTACTAGGTTTTTGACTTTCTTCCATCATTGTTCAGTTAAATATTTTTGTAATAACTTGGGGAATATTGTGATTGTGTGTCTCCAACCACCAGCTGTCAACTGCTGACCTCTCTGTTCCCTGCATCTGTAATGTTACAAGCCTTTGTCCTGGAAAGAGTTATGATGTTTCAATCAAATACATTGTGAAGTTACAAAACCCATAACACGATCTGGATAATGACTGCCTGGATACACTTATAAAATATATTTTAGACCCCCCTAGGGAACAGAGACTGGAAAAAAATCACAAACATTGCTCTCTGCTGTTTGCCACTAATTGAATGAGTGATCATTGCATGAGATGAGTGTTGAATCTGAAGCCTGCTGTTAAGGTGTATGTTAAATAAAATGCACAGAAGTCCAAAAACAAAGAATATCTGGGTTAGAACATCACTGAAGTCCTGAAAAGCAAGCCTTACAAGGATCTGGAGTGCTGAGATGGGCATGGGATCTCTGTTTAGCCCACAAAATTTTGGCATTGCAGCCTATTGAGAAATTACTATTTGGATTTCAAACTCTGCCCTTTTCTCTGCTGTGACTTTTACCCAAGATTTACTAAGTCTCAAAGGCTATAGTAACTATTGCCAAACAGAGCTGTGATAGAGAATTGTTTCATAACCAGCCAAAAATCACAGCAATAGCCACTGAAGAGCTGTATTTGTCTTTTCTGTCTGTGACTCAAGCTTGTTCACATGCTGGGACACTGACAGTCTCTATAGATCCAACCAGTTTCGTAAAAGCTGAGGAATATGACAAGTAGGTTGTCTAGAATACAAATGCCCAAACCAGCATCCAGACCAGTTCAAAGTGGTGCAAGGACTGGTACAGAGACAAAAGGTGTTTGCCTCTCTCTTTCCTCACCAATGCTCAGTGCCAAGCGTGGTCATTGCTAGTAGCACGACCTGCCACAATTGCTTCAAGGGATTTATAAACTGAGACTGATTTCTCTAATGTTAAATTCCTCCTCCCCTCTCTTTCATATAGATGTAAACAGATTTTCACAGCTACTACTTTGTGTGTTGGGGATGGCTCAGGACCTTGCCCGTTTGAATATCTTGTGATGGGCCAATTTGCAGTCTCCAGAGGGTGATTGGGCTCCTCAGTCACTTGGGATTGATTCTGCTCACTCCCTGAAAAGCCAAAACCTTTGGGAGAGTTATTATTAGGAGAATGACAAATGGTGAATAACAAATTATGCACCATCAGTAATGAACTTCCACAGAAGTCATTTGTGTCAGACTGTTCACTGGTCTGCAATGTGCTTGTGAGGAGCTATCATGAAGAGGTTCCTGGCTGTCTGAATAACATGATGGATGGACAGCAATGCCACGAATTCACCACCTGTGTTGGAAAAAATGTTTGCACATGCCTTTTTATATTATTTGTATCTGTTTGTGATAGGCTTTTCTCTATTACCCTTTGTCAAGGTGTCCAAGAGCTTGGGTGAAGGAAATTTCTTTTATATTAAAAAAAGTTGTTAAAATGACTTTCTGAACTTGCATGCTTTGTTTTATTTCAGCCCCTGGGGTTTTCAAACAGGTGAGTTACCATCTACCAAAATCATAAAGAAATAAAAACAGTATAGAAAAAGGGCTATGAAACATCTGTTTCAAAAGAGGACACGATCCAAGAAAGAACTGCACAAGTCTGTAAATTATCATTTTAATTTGGAACCTATGACAACCTTGACAATGCCCCTTTACATCTCTCTCTACTGTCTCTATTTATATCATGCCATCTTTATTTACTGTTCATCTAGCAAATAAAGCCTGTCCCCAGCACTCTGAGTGCCAGGCTGCAGAATTGCTGCAAGTCTCCTTGGAGCAGTGTTCAGCCACGGGTAAACTAGTCCTGCAGAGAGATGCTCCCTATTCTCCTTCCAAGATCCAGAAAGAAGAAACTCATTGCTTATGCTGCAATTTTGATAACCTAACTGGCAGAACTGTTATTCAAATTTTAAGCTTCTAAATGCAGCAAGATCAACCTGGCCATCCACATAAATAATTTTGACATGATAAGTATGCGAGTGTGATGATAACTGATAAGTGAAGCAATTACCTTGCTTTTTTGGATTATATTAAATGAAGATTCTGATAGAGTAATGAAAAGAGACAAAGCAGACAAAAAGGCGGCCGTAGAGCTTTTGGGCACTGTGTTATCTCTATTATACCATATTGAAATAGAGAAGCTATCACCAATCATGCTTCCTATGTAACTTCTAGCTTCTAACGGTGAACAATGAATAAATTGTCACAAGACAGTAACTGATAAATTGGGATTGGCAGTGCTTTTTAAAAGTGTAAATAAACTTATCAGCCCCCTCACCCTCCCGGAAAGGCAGTACAGTTTGCATAGGATTTTTTTATTTTGGTATGTTGTAGATTGCAAGGTCTCCTTTCATTTACCTACCTCAATTGTCCTTTGTTTGGCCATCAGTTTTAAGTAGCCACTTCAGCATAAGAGTTTACTTCAGCAGTAGCATCCTTTCTGTCATGTACAACACAGCACTTTGCTTTTGTCCCAGTGTGTTTACTCCGTCTGCTATCCTTCTCTCCTAATTCCTGCCATTCCAATTAGAAGCCGCTCTAATTATGTGTTTTTACACTGGCTTTTATTGCATGCAGAAGCATACAAAGATATAAATAGCACTTCCAAGCAAAGGTGCCCAGTATTGAGTCTCTAAGAACAACTTTGCAGACACTGAGTACCTCAAGGATTAATTAGAGTTCTCCAGAACTGTGCTATTTCTTTCCAAAGATGGATCCCAATTCTTTCTGAAGCCAGTGGGATTTTGCTACTGATCTTGGCAGGATCTGGCCCAACATTCTTTTTGGTGGGGATCATGTGCTGAAACTGATATTTGTACATTGCATCCTTTCAAGACAAGGCACAAATGGAGTGGGAATGTCATTCCCTTGTTAAAATTAATTAAGTAACCTAACACCGTACATCTGGGGAGAGGACAGAAGGGGAAAGGAAGTTCTCCTTGTTCTCTGTTTACCATTTGAGTGCTGCTTCAAGCTGCAATAGCATCACAGTGCTGTTACTAAGGCCTCCTATGGTCTGCAGCCAGCTGGACCTAAAGACAGCAGCAGAGTTCCTGCTTTGTGGGATTCATTGCTTTAGGATAACCACATCCTATCCCTAGCTAGAAATTTGTTACACTATTTTTATTTTTTTTATATATATCATATCTACACTGTAGAAACCGCTGGGCAAGACAAGGAGTTTGGAGATCTCAGTGGCAAAATACTGGATTTTAGAAACCCAGTGTAGTTTGAGAAATGGTTGAGAATTTTGGAGTGGAGAATGGACACGACTTCCCTCCCTGTTGTCAGGAACAACGGAGGTGATCTGTGAGCCGGCAAACTCCGGCAGCAAGCATCTGTCACCCTTCAGCTTCCCACCCTGATATCCGCATCTGAAAATCTCTGATAACGAAGGCTAAAAGCATGCTGACAAACTATAGTCCCCACTGAGTGGCTCCGCATTGCCGTTATTAGACTTCAGGATTAATGCTCCACAAGGGTGTATTGTTCTTGTACTTTGTTTACTTATTCAGAAGGATTTTTTTTTTTTGGTTTGTAAGTCTATTTGTGCAATTCAGGCAGATCACAAACTGAATTTTACTTTATGAAAATAAAAGCCTCTTTTTCCTGCTATTTTATAGGAGTTGCTGGATTATGTGGCAAATTCTATGGCTGTGGAACTGCATAAAAAGCACCTTTGACTACTCCTATTGTTCCATGGGATCAATTGCTCAGATCCATCTCTAACTGAAGTCAATGTCGAACTTCTCACTGAATTCAATGCTCCTGTTACTTATTTCAAAAGAAAGCATTTTAATTGACTCGGAACTATCCAGGCACACATACATCTTGCCTATGTAAACACATTTTTGTTCCTGTTATCCCCACTATCTGTTTCCACCCATACTGTTTCTGTATCTATATGCTTAGTCTGCATTAAATTAGCAAAAACTTTTGTTCTGAGGACAGTAGGCTTTCCCAAAAGTTCAAGTTTCAAGTTTGAGAAGATATGAAAATGTCTTACAAGCCCTTTTGGTGCTAAAGGAGAATGCAGCTTGGCTGGTAGTAGACGATCAACATAAGCTCTACTCCCCCAAGGTCCTGGCTGTACGTCCTGTCCTCCCTGCCCCAGTGATGCTTTGTCACCATGTGCCTGTGTCACCATGCTTTGGCTCAATGGAGGAACTGACCTGGCTGGAGACAAATCTTTGCTGGGCTGGGTTGGTTTCCAGAAGGATTGGTGGCTGTGTCTGTCTCAGCTGTGCAGCCACATGAGCTGCAGCACCCATGCAGGGGAGGCAGCAGGAGGGCACATCTGTGGGTGGGAGGGAACACCCCGCTCCACGTAGGTTACACCACGGCCTCTGAGAGCACTGTGCTTTGATGAAGGGTGCTGGATGTCTAGAGAGGAGACAAGAGGAATAAATAAAGGAAAATCATGACTTTTTTCATCAAAACTGTAGCAAATCCTTCAACTACTGTACTGTACCGCATACCCGAGCTAGCATGCCTGAGGTTCATCATGCCATAGCCTGTCTGCTAACTCACACACTCAGCACAGCACCAGGCCTAGATCAGCCACCCTGAGCTGGGTGCAGCAAGTAATAGTGAGGGTCAACACTGTTCCCTAGCTGCCCAGAGCAATTTACAGGCTATTTCCTAGCAGTTCCCCGAATGCCAATGACATACAACCATTAATGGACGCAAGAATGTCAGCAAACATAAAAATGACACATTTCAAATTCAATTTACTGGAACCAATTTTTAATCAGGTAAAGAGTCTGTATGTGATGCATCAGTAGAATTGGGCTTATGGCAGTATCCATTTTCAAAAGTACTCATATGACTTAGAAATTTAAAGTTTCAAACGTAAGGGTATTAGGAGCATAAATATCTTCGGTTTTCAATGGAATTCAAACCCCAGAGTCACTGAGGTGCTTTGAGAAGTCTGTATTTTGCCCTTGAGAAATTGTATTTCCCCAATCTATTTTCTACCGAGACATAGAACAGACAGAATTACTAGGCTATGAGAGTCGATTCTCATACAAAAGATTACATGATTTGCCAGATCTGGTTCTTTATGATCATTGATAATATCAAGAAGAAAGACTAACTGCTTCTTTGCGTCGGGAACCATGGAATGAAGAGGATGGGCTGATAGAAGAGGGTGGAGGTGGTTTGCAAAGCAATAGATTAGATCAACTTCTTGTCACCTAATACAATCACCACATTTTCCTTTCATCTTTACTTTTATCCTTTTTGGCCTGCAAAAGATAGGAAAGTAGACCAATTGCCTAGATTTAGAGCTGGATTTCTGAGTGACGGTACAGAAATTGGTAATAAATTTCTTTGCATGTGCAGATTTCTCCTGGGACACTTTCCCAGTGCCAGAACCTTCTTTCTAGGTTAAGCATACGTTATGGAGGCCTGAGCAGAAAACCACATACAGACATTCCTCTGGGACAGGTATTCTTAAAAAGCTCTGGACTCTCATGACCACTTATAAAAGTGTAGTAGATATCCTATCACTTTACAGCTATCAGAGTCTCATTTTTAGTCACTCATCCATACAGGGACTTTTCTTTCTGTAGTACATATGCCAGAACTGCCCAGCTTTGTTGCTTTCCAATGGGGATGTTTGTGCTTTTTAGCATGCTTGTCCTCATCAAAAGTATCCCAGACCCAGCAAGATGCCAGGTCCTGCAGGGCAGAATATGATCTGAGACTTCAGAGAGATGTGGTTGAAGATGCACATTCAGGGATGGGAACTGCAGAGCATCTGTCTGTTGAGGTAATATTTTCCCATTGCTTTGCATGACTTGGAAAACTGATATACATGTATGACTTTTGGTCTAGCCCTACAGTAATAATCAGATATGTACAGTGAGACATTTGGTATTGATCTACTCCTAATCAGAAATCAAACTAAACCTTATCTTATGACAAAGTGTAATTAACTATTTTGTTAATTACTATAATTATCCTCACCACGTTTATTTTGACAGCAGTGTCAGTAGCAGAAAACTATTTCCTTAAATTGCTGTTGCCGATTATGAATTACAAATTCATACAATTTTGACAAACGATTTTATTCTCTTTTTAGCAGCATGTTTTGCAACAGACAGCTTTACAGAAAAAAAAAAAAAAAAAAAAGGCTATCTGTTTGAAAACCAAGCTAGAAGGTCACACACACAAAATTAACTATACTGGAGCTGCAAATTCCTTTTACTTGTAATTTTCCTCTCCTATGCAAGACTCTTTGGTCACTTACATGATGTAACGAGATAAGAAAAAGAAGAGAAACCTAGACTGGTTTATAGTAGTCACTAACCCAGAGTTGGCCAAGGGGGACATATGGACCGCATGTGACCTGTGAAATCCTACAATGTGTTTTGCCCATTGAAAGTTATCCCCTTTGTCTCTTTATGGTGTCATGAAGAAGTAGAGAAAACACAGTGGCAGCATGACATCTTGGTGGTGCTCCAGGACTCAGGACTGGTTTTAGTCCTACCATAACCTGTATAGGGGACTTGGAAATTAGATGTGGTTGTGGCCAGAAATATTTGAAAATGCAGGAATTCAAGTGGGAGCTCTTCATATGCTTTTAAAGCTGGAATCAGACCATCTGCTCTGTGCTTCATTTAGCAACTTCTATTCTTAACTAAAATACTTTTTGAGCCAGCTGCTTCAGCACTGTAATTCCTCCTCTCTGCCCAGCAGAGCTCAACCTCTGGGGAGGACTGACGGAGCTTTTAATGCAGCGCATTGTCAAAGCAAAACTGAGGTTCTATTGCTGGGGCAAGGCTTACCCAAGAGAAAAAAAGGACTTGTGGCACCAACAGGAGAATTGTTTGCATCAAAATTGGTCTGCATTTTCCATGGGTTTCATCTCCCACTAGGAAAAGGAAGGAGTAGGCAAGAAAGTGATCAAACCACATGAGACCCTACTACACTCAGTGGCTGCCCCTGTGAGTTGCACTTGCATGGCCTGGTTGTTCCTGAGTTGAATTCTTTCTTTCTTGTCTGTACATAGTCTTCTGAGTTACTACTGACTCTGGAGGTACCAGTATCATAGTTTGAAATGACAGTATAGGTGAGAAAAGCTAGACCACAGAAGTGTGTGAGCTGATACATCCCCTTTGTAGAATGGCAGTGATGGAGTTAACTGAGTTGGCATCTCTGCTGTGATAGTAGAACACACACTGTGTTTCCTAAGTGGTAATGACTAACATGGTCAGCAGTTGGTGCCAATACTGAGCATTTGGTTAACCTCCTAGTTTGCTTGTAGCAAAAGTAATTTACTCAGTACACAGACATCTACCCCAGTCTAATCTCCTTGACGAGAGATTACAAAGGGGTGGCAGGCTGAAGTGGCATAAAATTCCAAATACCATATCTATTTTTACTCATTGACAATAGAATAATATCCGTGGGACAAGGATTAGTAAACAGAGAAAGACATTCTGGCTTAAAAGCTAGCTTCTCCTTCCTGGTTTAAAATTACAGTGCAGCAGATCTTCAAAAAAGAAATAAAAAGTTCATTAATGTGCCATCCCAGGGATGGATTTCTGCAGCATGTGCCTATAAGAGGTGGAGTTCAAACTTAGACAAAGTCACATGGAAATGAATTCATTGCTCACCTGTGGGGCTATTTACATTGGGTGTATTTGCTTGATTTGAGAGTGAGAAATAACAAGACCAGAGCATGTGACACACGACTAATCACAAAGGGACCAGGGAGCTTGATTTTACTGAAATACTGATGTGGCTTGTGATATTTGGTGAACTTCTAGAGTCACACGATGAGATAAAATTTTCAGTTGTTGTTAAAAAAATGGTATTTCTAGTGCTAATTACAGAAGAAAGTTTGAAAAAATGACTGAATGTACACACTGTATATTCTAGGTATACTGCATGTATACACACAGTATACAAACACTAGAGAGATAAAAAGAGCCAAAATGTAGTTAATATAAACCTCGTGATTTAGCCTAGTTTTATAATTATATGGTCTGTGAATCATGATTTTTGAATACATGGGTTGGCAAAATACCACCGCCATTACTAAGCAACAGCTTAGTAAATTAATCTAGATGCATTAACAGGATGTGGAATGTAATGTCAATAAATACTAGATAGAAAATGAAATTCAAATAATGAATACATTTGAAGAAAGATGATTTCAGAGATATATCATGAATAGAGACAGAGGGAAGGGCCTATTACTTAGTTACTATATTTTCTTTACACGCAGCAGTTTACCATTGATGTTAATTGGATCAGGACCAAGACAGCAGCTAGCAATTGAAAAAAGCACTACTTTAATATATTTATGTAACACTGGTTATTGATTATTTACTTGGGTTAAGGTCATTACAGGTAGTTCGGATAGTCTTTTGCAAGCTTTAGTTTAGTTTAGCTTTAAAACATATTAAGTAAAATATTTGAGATAATCAACAGGCTGATGGTAGTCCTCATTCCATCAGTTTCCCACTATTTCAAAAGCATTTCTGTGCATTTCTACAATTCCACATTTCTGCATCACCAGTATCAAGATAACTATTTTTTGTCCCAAGCGAAATTCTCTTGCCAGGACTCTGCTGCCAGCAAGACTTGGAAACCTCGCACTCACCACCTTCCTCTTGAGCTGCAGGTGTGAGCTGAGACAGTGTGCACTCATTCCAGTCAGCCACATTACTCTAGAAACAGACATTCACGGCAGACATGCCATATACTGCCCTGTGTGCCCTGCTCTGGTGCTGGGAGCCCATAGGCTGCCTGCAGCCTGACCCACGAGTCCTGCCATGCTGAGGGCAGTGGCAGCGAGCAGCCAAGAGACCATCCAGCAACACCCTAGTGTTGTGGGGCTGCTTGGGACACTCACTTCTCTGGGGCAGATTTTGTGGCTTTTTGTGACTCCCATGAGGATGGTTGGTCGTCTCCTCCACCCCAGTCACAATTCCAGTCCCATGCAGCCCCTGTGCTCGGCAGGAGGCCTGTTACCAACCCTGCAGTGCTGCTGGGGGCTGCTGCGCTGCTCCCACCCAGCCAGCCGCTGTGGAGCATGGGATTGCTCATTTCCACTGGTTTACGAGGGAAAAATCCCAACTTCTGCCGTCAATCTTTCTCCCTGTTTTCATCAACAGACTGTAACACATTTGCTTTACCTCCCTCACTTGCCCTTTCAGCTTTTTTAAAAACAATTTCTCTTTATTGGTCTTATGATTCAATAAAGTTATTCTCCTGATAAGTGTGAAAGGTCTCTTTCTTCTTGCCACTGCCGTGTGCACTTCTGCAGCTCCCCATTACCACGGCTTCCGCTTCAAACTATCATCTTTAAAGGTCACTTGTTTCCTTACACACGCAGTCAAGCCCAACAATGATTTAATGACACCTGAACA